GAATTTGATTCATTTGTGATAACATCTCTTTCATGGACCTTTGAAACATGGTTTGCTGGTCAGTTCCTTTTTTTTTTCTTCCAACACTGTGAAACATATTGATAATGATTACCTCTGTCGTTAATTAATAAGTAATCTTTTTACAGTAACTCATATATATCATATGTGCTATACCTATAAGCAGAAAAAGTGGCCCCTGGATTGGAGTTATCCATCAGCTCTTTAGATCATAGGCATTTTTTGTATAAAACCTTCATTTTTTGTGTCACCTGACTATTATGATTTTAGACGTTTTGTTACCAGAAAATGAATATTGCAAATCACAAGGTTTTATATAGAACGAACACAGTGTGGGTCTCAAGCCCATTTCCAAAAAGCCATTTAATTAGAGACCACTGTAGAGAATGAACAGTTGGGTTGCTGTTCTTAGAAAAAGCTTTCTGAACTTCAAACAAAAGCTAATTTAGAAGTAATAAAAAATCCCCTTTCATTTCTGGTTTTCAGCTTAGTCTGACATTGATGGACCCATTCTGGTATTTACAAACTGTTCATAGGTAGCTGAATCACATAAAGATTGGAACAAGTTTGCTTGCTATTTTTCCTGAAAGAAAGTGGGAGGGAAATTCCTTTTATATCTGATTTTTTTTTAGTCTTAAGATTGCCGTTTCATAAGCCTCCTCTTTGTGTTGGTGTGATTGCTGTATGTGGGTGTTTAAGCGGTTGAGCTAGGGAATCTGTTAAACTACTAACAATCCATGTAGCATGCATAGTAAGGAGTATATATTCCATACTTGATAGGATTTATATACATATATATATATATATATATAGTTCCAAAATAACCATATTCAATGATACGGTTTTTATTGGACTAACATAATATTTTAAAGACTAACTTTTGAGAGTTTCGCTCTCTTCCTCATGTCTGAAGCCATACTGGCGCAAAAGCTTGTCTTTTAAATATTATGTTAGTGCAATAAAAAAAAAGCCATCATTGCATACCGCAATACTCTGATTATATTGGCATTTGGATTAATATGGCTAATCCAATATATATATAGATATATATACATATACACACACACGCACACACACACACACACACATACAAGTACTGTATGCAATTATATATTCTTGTACACACACACACACAGATACCACACACACACTTCCCTCCTCCGTTAGATGCTCACCCAGTCTCCACTCCTTCAAAAAATCATTAAAAACCCACTTCTTCATAAAAGCGTATCAATTAAACTGTTAATAGCTCCCGAATGATTACTCTCTTGCAACTGTCATTAGTCTAATACTATCTTTACCTTTTGTGTCACTTTACCCCACTCCCTCTAGTATGTAAGCTCAATGAGCAGGGACCTCATCCCCTCTGTTCCTGTGTGTCCAACTTGTCTGGTTACAACTACATGTTTGTTCGTCCACCCACTATAAAGCGCTGCAGAATTTGTTGTTTGTGACAGAGAAGGGGGGGTGGTGGGGCACTGACAGGGTAGGGGGTTGTGGGGTAGCTGAGACTGTCACAGGGCAGGGGGTTATAAATACCTTTTTATTAAATTAATTCCCTGGTGGTTCGGTGGGCAGGCTGTATCCCTGGTGGTCCGGTGGGCTCCCTATCCGGTCTGCAGCTCCGCCAGGTGCAGAGCTTCAGACCACGTGGTAAGTCTGATTGGCATTCGATCCCGAGACACCTCAGTCTGCAGCTATGCACCCGACAGAGCTGCAGACTGAAGGCTGGCTCTCTCCTGGGCAGACTGACTGGAGGGGCCTCTCACCCGGCGGCATTATAGGCAAGCTGCCGGGCCCTCTCCTGTGTCAGGCCCTCAGTCATAGACCGAAGACCCGACATGTCAGTCTGCCCTATGGTGATTTAGGCGGCCGCGAGGCCCCAGACCATGCAAGGTCTTAGGTGGCCGCCTAAATTGCCTAATTAGAGAGCCGCCTCTGTAGGTAAGTATTATTAAAAGAAGATAAAATTTACTTACAATAAAATTAGCAGACTGGATGGCAAGAATGGATGGCATAATCTCCACCTAGGATTCTTAAAAAAGTAGTCCACAGGAAACTCAGGAAAATATAATAAAATCCAGATGTCAGGTAAAAATAAAATACTAAAATTAACAGCTAAAAAGTATGTGGCTTACATCATAATAGGGTAGCCAAAAAGACTTTCGAAACAGAAATAGAATAAAACCACAACGCGTTTCTCCCCTTAGAGCTTTTTTAAGTGGATAAAACATATAACTGACATCAATACGTTTATATAGGCTTCACAGCACTTCAAATTTAAAATTTGGTTCCAAAATTACATCATCAACAAGTGACCACAATTGCGATCACGTGACTTTAAATGGAGACACAAAACATAAGAGTACACATTCATGAAACATTTATTATATGAATAAAATCATAATTATTATAAATAAGTGTTTAGGAGAAAGGTGCAAGACCATAAAAATGAAGAGCGAAAAGCATTACATATGTGACGAAGTGCCCTTCGCCACTTGTTCCTGGAGGGGACTACTGGCTAGCCTCCTGCCTTCCGACTATGGCCCTGAACTGATAGCTGTATTTTACCCTGCAGAAAGGTTTATTTGTGTATTTCTGCTGGGTGTTCGGGACTTTCAGTATGTGAGTAGTGCTACCCCAGATAGCTATGCCATGGAGCCTATTCATGTAACGAAAGACTATGAAAAAGACTTTGGCTCCATGGCGATTGAACTGTATGTATGTGATCTGAGCCCCATTCGGTAATAATGTGCGCTCAGATCTAAGCTATCTGGGGATATGTTGCATGTATATGTTTTATGTAGTAATTGTAACATTGTGTAATTTTATGTCTTTTTGTAACCATGTAGTTAATGGAGTCTTGCCTCTGTCCTGGGAGACAATTTGATTACTTCCCAATTATCTCCAGGATAGAGAGGAGGGATTGTGATGTCACTGTGGGAGTGTTTTGTGGGGTCCGCAGTGCTGATGGTGTCGGTTGGAGTACTCGGAGTCCTCGGCAAGCGCTAGGAGCATTGATAGGCAGAGGTACTCGGTCAGAGTGCCAGCGGTCCGTCAAAACGGAAAATGTAGTTTACTCGTGCCGATCGCATTATAGCGATGGACGAGCTTATGACTGTATTCTTAGGGCTGTCGGACATGTTCGGGGAGGGGGAAGAAGAGGGATTGGACATATGTTTAGTCCTGGATAGAAGCCAAAAGCACGATCAGGAGGTTTGATAAGGCGAGGCATGGGAAAACTAGAGAGTATGGCTCTTTGATGATAAAATATATAAAAGGGGGCGTACAGGGAAACTGGCGTCCTCGAGTGATCACGCATGGCGGCCATATTACAAAGGGATACTAAATAGCTAAACACAGCTTGGTGGCCATATTGGGAGGGGAATAGATAAATGTAAAAAATTTTTAATAAAACGTGAACTATCAGAAATAGATAATATCTACCCTATTGCTTATATAACTACTACTGATGAAAAGTTATGTGTACAATATAAGAAAAATAAAAATACATACAGGATAAATATTGGATAATACTTCAGATACGAAATAAAGGAAAATATTGACATCTAAACATAGAAAAGTGACATGCTTGTTAGACAGTGATATACCTTTGAACAAATTTGGGAGTTAACTTTATAAAAACAGCAGGAAATTAGAAATGGTTATAAAAAAATGTAAAAGATTGAAATCTGCATTTAAACCTTTTCTTATGTCCTCTCCCCGCCATGGGATAGTGCATTGTATAACTGCATCCTGGATTATTTTGGTGTAAATAAACATTTTTAGATACAGAATGATTTTGGTATCCTTTTGTTATATTGCGGCAGTGTTCGGCTTTTTAAAATATCAGGTTTTAAAACTTATAGACATCATTCCTACATATTGGAGGCCACATTGGCACTCCCAAAGATAAATAAAAATAATTTGTATTGCAGGTAATGAAGTCATTTATCACATATGTTTGATTGGTAATGTTTGAGGTAAATTGGGTGGATTTATTTTGAACTGATCCCTAGTTTTGCATACAATAAATTTTCTGCATTTAATAAAGTCCTTAGGGATAGCGCCGGATAGTATACAGGGCCGGCAGGGGAGAGCAAGGGGGAGCCTCTGTGCTATACTATTTTCTCGATAGTATGGGTGCCCCCCCCGGATCAGCCACTAAGCAGTGGATTATGAGAAATATATACACTCCTCCGATTGGACGCAGAGAATGCCAGGATTTGGAGAGACTCCTGGGTTTATAATCACCAGATCTACAAAAAACTTAGGATTTGCTATAAATAGAGCTGAGTATTTTTGTATGCATTTTAATCTTACTTTTTTACTTTGTACTAGCTACATATTTCAGTATATTGAATATGGACTTCATGGCAGGTTTAATTTTGCAAGTACACATATTCTTCAAAGACATATTTACATAACTTTTCTGTTAACAATATGTTCAGTTCACAATCAATTTTTTTTTTAAGTAAAATCTGGAATTAACCCCTTCTCATGAGCTAATTTTTGTTTTATATTACAAAAACAGTCCAAGCCAAAGGGCCCAGATAGCCAAGTCTTTATACAAGGGCTTAATTCTTTAGCTCTGCATTTATCTTGTTAGAAATGCATTGAAAAAATCCCTGACACAAGTTCAGATTATTTAGGAAACTTTAGAAAAATGTAGAAACTTTACAAATGACATATCATTTTGATAACCTTTACTATGAAACCATTTTAACTAAACAATATCATCATCCTGTGAAAAATGGTACTCGATTGTTATGAATATGCATAACGTAGTATGTTCCAGGAGCCCAAAACTACATTTTTTGTTAAGTTTTTACCTGTTACATACTCCCAATGACTATAACAAGATAGGAAGTAACACTGAGCAGGAATTACCAGATTTTACTATTTACATGACATAAAGTCATGATTTTATTAACGACGCGGAGGCGAGTATTATGCTGCACTCTTTCTTTATTTCCCTCAGTAGCTAAGAAAAAACTTTAACAATGAAATCAACACAGGAAACAGTCAGTAACATGTATCTTCCATGGCAACCAATAGCCAATCAGGTTCCACCCTCCAGCATAATAGGTGGTGTTCACTAAACTATTTCCTCTTTCTTGCGATCCCGAACTAGGACAACCATCCAACCGAAAAAGGAACTCCAATAAGAGAATAATGCCAACAGCAAACAACAAGTCAAGCTGTAAGAGAGAGTAGAATATGGTAATATCCAAGTATTAAACAGGATTCATGCATAAAATAAAACGAATAGGCAATATCTGATTTAAAATTCTATTCAGTCAACATATTGTTGGAGATGGATACAGACATGAGAAGATCAAACCTAAATCACCTTAATATTGAACAAGCCCGAATTAAAGAAATTTACCGTATGTAACTTACCCAGATTACACCACCATCCAGGGAAGGGCGGGAGTGATAATACTCGCCTCTGTGTCGTTACTAAAATCATGGCCTGTGTTGATTTCATTGTTTTTCTTTGCTGCTGAGGGAAATAAAGAAAGAGTGCAGCATAATAGGAGCCTCCGTGTCTTAATAAAATCTCAAATTCTAGCCACCAAATGTTAATGGCCTGAATTCTTTGAATGCAATAGATGGCAAAAGAATTATGGGAACTTATGATTCTGAAACATTCAGGGAAAGGGGGGCAGAGTTTAAAGTCCCTGGGATAGAGCTAGTACATAAATGTATATTTTAGGGGCTAGACAACATTAGGCATACAGTGGTCACATTGTTATCAGTGGCATCTCCAGGATTCATATTTAGGGTGGCACATTAGGGGCCAGGGACATACCTTTTTTAATGGCCTAATAAAGGCTACAATCTCTACTTGAAAACTCTATATATTTTGATATATATACATGCATACATACACAGGGCTCGACAAATCCCAGGCCACCAGATCGCCACGGTGGCTAGAAATTTCGGCCTGGCGCCTCGGATTTGTCAGCCCTTTTCCAAGTCATGCACGCTCACTGATACACACGCTTACTACAGACAAGCTCACCGATACACACACAAGCTCACTACAGACAAGCTCATTGATTCATACACATGCTCATTAAAGACAAGCTCACTGATACACACTGTATCTAGGTGCTGTAGTGTGAGCACATGCTCATATATAGGCGCTTTTAAGATTTTGTGTGTGCTAAGAGGGCCTTTAAAGTGTGTGCGTGTGCATCTAGGGGCTGCAGTGTGATGTATGTGTATGTCTGTGTGTATATATACTGTGTATATGTGTATATATATATATATATATATATATATATATATTTATATATATGAGATTTGGTGAGTAATGGGGTGAAGTATGTATGTATATGTGTGTGTGGGTAAATGTTTGTGGGGATGTGTGTACGTTGTATGTCGGTAAAGAGATGATATCCGGGATGAAGTGTGTGAGGCGGGCACTGTGTGTATGCAAAGGTGTACTCTCTGTGGGTGGGAGTGTACTGTATGTGGGGGTTTCACTATCTGTGAGGGTGTACTGTGTTCACACGGGTGTAGAGAGTGGGATAGGGAAGGGCTTTACAATTTTTACTTTAATAACAGTTTAAAAAAAATATATATATTCCCTTTTCCCTGTAGGATGGGGGTGTGGGGGTGGCACAATCAGATCCGTGGTGATTGAGAAGACTGCCTGTCCATCGTGTACAGGGGAGGTCACTGGATGAGAGGTCTCTCTTGGAGCTCAGGCCCTTTTACAGACTGACCCATACACACACAGACTGACCCATACACACACACAGACTGACTCATACACACAGGCTGAACCCCCCCGCACACAGACTAACCCCCCTCCACACACACAGAGACTGACCCCCAACACACACACACACAGATTGACCCCCCGACACAGACTGACACATACACATGACCCTCCCACCATACACAGAGATTGATCCCTCCTCCCCCAGCCACACACACATAGACAGACCCACACACACAGACTGATCTCCCCACACACAGACTGGGCACCCTCCCACCCCCCCAACACACACACACAGACTGAACCACAAACACACATACTGAATCACACTCACTGACTTACACTTACCAGCAGTTGCCTGGGAGCCTCATTCCCCCTGGCAGAGCTGAGCTTCCTTTCCCTGTCTTTCCCCTGCGCTTCTCTCTGTGATCCAGTAGAAAGTTTCTCCCAACACAGTGTCCCATTTGGCCGCACGTGGGAATTTTTCAAATAATTCTTCCACCTCAGTGCACTGCTGCTGCAGCTTGTGTAGGGAGACTCAGTGCTCCCGGCTTCAATTTCAATTCGGGGGGCACAAGGAGGGGCACTGCATGATGTAGGGGCGGGGATTGGCCCCCTCTGCCCCCCCAGTGACACCCCTGATTGTTATTGCATGTTTAGGGTGCTCCAATATTTCCAGATGCAGTTGCTGTTAAAGTAAAACATATTTTTGTGTTTCTCCCTATTTTAAAAATATGTACATCCTTTAGAATCAGAGAATATTAGACTCTTCTTTGTAGAAAAGAGTGTGTTGAGAAAAATAGTATGCATAGGCCTTATGGCAAATGATAAAAATGCTACATTTGTAAAATGTATACTGTGGGACCTCGGTTTACAAACGCCTCGCTTAACATAATTTTCGGTTTACTAATGAAAATCCATTGAAAATAATGCCTCGGTTTACACATTTTTGCACAATACAAAGCAAGTTTCCCCAGGATGCATTGCACATGGGAGCAGTTGCGGATCCGGGGGAGAAGGGGGGGAAAACTGCACACTGCACACCCATAGACACATTGCCCCACACACACACACATATACAGTGCTCCCCATACACACACTGCCCCCCACACACACATATAGTGCTCCCCATACACACACTGCCCCACACACACATACAGTGCTCCCCATACACACACTGCCCCCCACACACACACACATACAGTGCTCCCTATATACACACTGCTCCACACACACATACAGTGCCCCCATACACACACTGCCCCACACACACACATACAGTGCCCCCCATATACACACTGCCCCACACACACACACATACAGTGCCCCCCATATACACACACGGCCCCCAACACACACATACAGTGCTCCCCATACACACACTGCCCCACACACACACACATACAGTGCTCCCCATACACACACTGCCCCACACACACACATACAGTGCTACCCCATACACACACTGCCCCACACACACATACACATACACACACTGCCCCACACACACATACAGTGCTCCCCATACACACACTGCCCCACACACACACACATACAGTGCTCCTCATACACACACTGCCCCACACACACATACAGTGCTCCCTATACACACACTGCCCCACACACACACATACAGTGCCCCCCATACACACACTGCCCCCCACAACACATACAGTGGCTTCCATACACACACTGCCCCACACACACACATACAGTGCTCCCCATACACACACTGCCCCACACATATACTGCCCCCTAGCACACACACTGTATGCCTGACATACACGGCCGCCCTCACGCACTCGCACTTCACCACTCACACACACTGCACCTTTCACACACACTTCACCCCTAACACATACCACTGCTCCTATGCTCTATATCCCAGGAGACTCCAGGTAAGTTGTCAAACTGTTCTTAAACGGTTTGACTACTTACTCTGAGATGGGATCCTGGCACTACTGGAACCATAACTACTACACTGAGCTGTAGTGGTTACTGTGCCTGGATTATTTCTTTAAATAATCTACAAGTGCCCCTCCCGAGATCAGGCCCTGGATCCGCCACTGCCTGGGAGGTTTATAGCTCCGCCCCCTGCACGTGGCGTTGAGTGTGGAGGTGTTGGTGCGGCGTTTGCATCGAATTTATGAGCCATTCTGGAAACTGTTTGCAGTTGTTTTGGGACTTTTTGGTGCATTTCTCAAGCTGTGGAAAGGTAGGGAGCTGAGCTTCGTTGTTTGCATGCCTTTTATTGTATGCTCTGCATTGTGGGTTGGTTTCCATGCCAGCTCATTTTGACTTTTTTCTGACCTCCAGAACGGATTTATTGGTTTTCAATGCATTCCTATGGGAAACCACGTTTCAGTTTACACATTTTTCACAATAAGAAACGTCCCAGAGAACGCATTAATTTCGGAAACTGAGGTCCCACTGTATTTTAATTGGAATAACTTTGTGGCATTGTAATGAGCCATGACCCATCGAAATCCATTATTTTAAAGATTGCAAACACAATAAACAATGCCAAGTTCGTCCTAGTTTTGGATGATCTAGCATCAGGTAATCACAATGCTGATCATCTAGCACTAATCAAAATTAAAATACTTTTTGTACTAGGGTATCGGTTAATGAGAAGGCTTATAACTAAGCTCCAGAAGTAGCTAGACAATCCCAAAAGCCATAACAAAACCATCCTTCAAACACGAGAGGTGAACACCAGCTGATCATTAGAACAACTAAACAGGCTGGCTGGGCACTGAAGGAGTTAATATCCCTTTATTGCAATAACTGAGAATATTTAATAGCTGAGAAATATATATCCTATGGCTTTTCAATTTTTCATCTATGAATCATGCATTGTATGAAAAGCTTCTGTATGAATCATACAACTCTTCTTGCTAGAACTCAGTTTATACATGTTATGATCGATAGCCAAGTGAAGACACATTTGCCAAATATACAGATGCATGTATTAAATAGATGGAATTCACGAGAATCCATGCAGGGTTATTCACTAAAGTGAGCATTAAAAGTGAATTTAAAATTTAGGGCCAAAATAGCTAAACTGGAAAAAATCCTTTGCTTTCAGTTCAGCTACTTTGCCCTAAATTTAAAATTTGTTGTCAATTTCATCCTCAAAGTAGTAATTCCAATCACTTTAAAAAAAAAAAAAACACCTTGGGCAACACCTTCCCAGCTGTCAGACAGTCAGTAATGGCTTCAAAACCAGAATTGAGAAGCTGTGTTGTACTTGGCACTTGGCAATTCCCATTGACATTAGGAGGTGAGTAAAAAAACTTTATTTTTTCAGGTTTTGATGAAACTGGAGCAGAGGGATCTCCTCCATAGTGCCCAATGGTTCATTTGAAACACAAAAGGACCCTTCGCTCCAAAGGTGTAAACATCTAAAGCTGTTTAGGTGACCGCCCCCTCGCCATTGCCACGTGTTAAAAAGGTGGATTTACTCACCTTTTTACTGTGCCGCGCAGGTCTCCCCGCAGCTGGCTCCACCCCATGGCCCCTTTAGCTGAGATAATTAAACTTTATGATATCAGCCAATCAAATGCTTTCCCACAGAATGCCAGAAATCCATGCTGTGCCAATCAGCATCTCCTCAGAGAGATGCTTTGAATCAATGCATCCCTATGGGGAGCATTCAGCGTCTCCATGCAGAGCATGGAGACGCTAAACATCATTGCTGCACCTTGTGCAGTACTGACCCAGGAAGCACCTCTAGTGGTTGTCTGAGTGACTGCCACTAGAGGTGTTACTGGGCAGTAATGTAAACACTGCATTTTCTCTGAGTGTTTACATTAAAACCTGCAGAGACTGGCAGTAGACACCAGAACAACTACATTAAAGGGAGTAGCAGGAACAGAAGCAGTAATTAAACACAATAATTATAGACTATTACTTCACTGGAATATGCCTAATTTATGCTGAAATAGCCAAGCAGTGACTACAGCCAGATTCAAGAATTTTTACAAAACAGCTACTGTAGCCTACATTTTCCAGTTTACTTTTCAAATCATTACAAGTCACTGTATAGTGAATAAAACTCATGTGTGAGTATTTCTGCTGAAAATGAAATTAAATTCTAATGCTGTGTAAAAAATATATTGCTAGCAGAAAGCTAATTTTTTTAAAATAAATATTGATATATATATTATTATAAAACATACATATCAAGGGGGGCGGGGCCTGACCTCGGAGCAGAGCAGTCGCAAGTTATCGCCGCTCCTGGCGGCATTTTTTTACCAAAACACTATTTTGACCATTCCTGCGGACACTCTAAGTTTTTTTTTTTTTTTTACTTTTCCGGTTTGACTATTGCCGTATAGTTGGAGTCCATGCACAGAGCTCTAAATGTGTAGGGAGGGGAGTGGTTTGCTAGAGCTCAGTGTTCTCTTTAACATGATCCTCGCTTATTATGCACTTATCCCTCATGAGAAATATGTTAAGCTAGACATGTTATTTCCTAAGTAGCATTTTCCCACCCATAATACGCACGCAACGAGCTGATAACACACCAGATAGCACCGCTAGAGCAACCCAGGGAGCCCCCCCAGCATTAGCGCAGACTTAACTGATCGTGGGGAAGTAACGAGGCTTGGTTTTGGTGGAATTTATTCATCTCTGCGCACAGAGTTAGTTAGACAGCCTCCACGTACACAGGCTTCATCCACCGCATGTTAGTCGTTTAACCCTTGATATAAATGCTTGACCTCAGATGTCTAACAAGTAATCTTTAGTTATTCTTACGCATCAGTTATATCTAACTTGTTTTATTATGTTCACTTATTATAAAAAACGTGGCAGTCTTTCTTGGGAGTGTACTCCAAATCACGCTGATACCTTTCTTACGTGTTACCATGCAATAACTCCTCTCTTTATTCTGTACCCTGTGACTCAAATGCCATAATAAAATAAAGATTGACATAAAAAAAAACATACATATCAATATAGGCAGATAGAGCTGTTATAATATTACAGCATATGTTGAAAGTCAGCTACGTACATTTTTCATCATGGACCATGTGCAAACAACATTGGTACAAAATACTTACCTGTCATCATTACTGCACTGTCTCAGTGCTCATTCCTTAAACATGTGTTGTCTAAACCACAGGAATTTAAAGTCATCCTACCCGTAAGGCATTTTTTCTAACTTTGAAAGCATTTAATCTTCACTTTCCCACGCTAAGAGGTTCATAAATATAGTTTCGATTAGTCATTTAATCTAGGTTTCTATTATCATGGCAACCGCTGAACCTTATCCATACTTAAACAATGATCAGCGGAATTCCGTACATTCCTATAGTAACAGGAAAATAGGCCAAAGAATGCCTATTAACATGAGTAGATTTGCAAGCACAAGCTACTGTTCTAGGTATCATATTTTCTCATGTCATTTTCTACCTGTGATTTCTTGTTAGAGTGTTATAGACTGACTAACACTATTGGTTTGATTTAGGGATTCAGGACTGGCACTACGTTATGGTGAATTAGGCATTCACCTGGTCATTGGCTCTCAGTGGGCTTCACAAGTCAGTATGATCTCCATCACTGGCCCTGCGAACCTCTTTTACTATACTGCAAGGCAGAGTGTTTACTGCACCTCTAGCTATTTATAATCACAGTCAGCACTCACTTGCTGTCCAGCACTTTCACATGATTGGATTACCCAGCTCTGAGTCGCTGAGATGCACTGGATCAGAATGAATTCCTAAAGGGTTACTTTTACCCTTTGGAGGGGGGAACCTTTCCGTTGTAATATGCCCTATTTGGCACTGAGGAGAAGGCCCCCTCTACCTCCTCTCTTTTTAGTAAAATGTGTAAAAAAAAAAAGTTTTTTACTCACCTCGAACCCAGGAAGCTCCATCTTCTGTACTCCCTCCAATGCCACAGGGGTTACGCAGGGTCCAATCACAGGCTTCTTATAGAGAATTCTAATGCCAGCTCAGAACGCATGCATGTGCTCCAGGCCAGTGAGGGGAGGAAGGGAAGAGGAGAGATAGAGTGGGGAACAGGAGGAAGGGAGAGTTTAAAAACAAAAACAAAAAACCTGTCTGCAACAGAGGTAGGCAGCAGGGAGCACCCACGGCGAGGGAGGATGGGAAGGGAGAGTTAGCTTCTCTAAGTGCAAGGAGAAGATTATCATGCCTGTTGTCTGAGACGTAAAATATGTACAGAATTGACATTAGCCAGCCCAGAACACAGTGTGTTGATGGTGTGCCAAGTGTGGTGCAAATAGCCCTGGGCACACAAGTACAAATAACTCCACATGTGCAGTATTCCAAGCTGAAATGCTGCACATACAGACTCCTAACACCATGACCACTTCAAATTACTGAAGTCATCATGGTGGTTGGATTAACCCTTTAAAGTTTTCAGTTTCCGCTTGAGGTGAGACAACAAGCTCCCCCCACTTGATAACCAGGTATCATAAATCAACCAATCTGCATAAAGCAACCCCTAACACTGACTCCCAAGAGACAAAACACACAGTACCCACAAAAAGAGGCACCTCACTAACACATAACCTCTCCCCACACAACACACAGCTCTCCTACAAACAGCCACCCCACACACAGCCTGTCACACACAACACTCATCGATTCCCATGTCACAGAATACACACAGCCTACCAAAGCCTCCCCTTACATAGCTTTAATCACACTCATGCAGACACTTCCAAACACACCGTTCAAGAAGTACAGTAAGTTACATCCTCCATACACAGTGTGCTGGTATGAAATAGGCTAAATGAGAGATGACTAGACTGGAAGAGAAATAACAGGAAAGAGACAAGTACTGGGGAAAGGAAGGTAGAGAAATTGTCACACTGGAAAACTTGAGAATTAAAGTAAATAAAGAGACAAAATGACTTAAGGGTGATGTAGAATGAACAAGGGGCAGTAAACCAGACTATATAAACAATATTTAAAATCTGGCCTAGCAGTTAAACACAATGGCCCAAAAATGTTACGTTTCATAGAAAAATACAGAAAAAAAACTTCTGCAATTGTCATTTACAAATCTGTATTGGCTTGGATTTTCCTTATGCAAGTCTAAGATCCCATATAACCCCCAAAAAATCCAATTTTAGCTAGCATAACCTAACTAGCATTGTGCATCATTCACTATTGTCACATCTTCAATGCCACAGTGGACAGCAACATCATGAATCCAATGACTCACACATCTTTGTTAACGCTCCTGCTCTGGTCCTCCAGCTGTCCTGAAATTAACTTACTGTACAAAACAGTGTCTTTCCATACAAGCTGCAGAATAGGACTGTGCATGATAACACCACCAGCTGTAAATCCGAGGAGGTTTTCTGTACTATCAGCAGGGAGGAGCAGGTAATGGTGAATGGGAGGGCTCAACAGCAAGGACAGAGAGTACATTTACACCAGGCAGCATTTCAATAGTAAACTGAAAATTCACTTATATGTGTTTTTTTTTCCCCACGTTCAAATCTATTTATGTACATTTAAGTGACTGTTTTTGATTAATCACCCCCAAACCTGGTGCTGTTTTCTAACAAATAAGTATGAATTGATAATGGATACACATTTTATACTGCTATGGCCATTATATATTTGTCCTCATAGTTAAAAGGACACTATAGTCACCAAAACAACTTTAGCTTAATGAAGGAGTTTTGGTGTATAGATCATACCCCTGCAATTTCAGTGCTAATTTCTCTGTCATTTATGAGTTAAATCACTTTTGTTTCTGTTTATGCAGATCTAACCACACCTCCCCTGGCTGTGACTGACACAGCCTGCATGAAAAGAAATAGTTTAATTTTCAATCAGATGTAACTTACTTTCAATGTTTGTATCGCCTGCTCTGTAAATTGAACTTTAATTAAACACAGGAAGCTATTAACAGAGCAGGAGATAAGAAATTCTAAATTAGACAGTATTTTCAATACAGGAGGTATAAACATTAGTGGAATCGTTATATGAAGTGTTTAGACGGCTGTGTAAGTCACATGCAGAGAGGTGTGACTAAGGCTGTATAAACAAAGTGATTTAACTCCTTAGTGGCAGAGATTTGAGTAGTGAGGCCGTTAAGGCATTATCTATATACAAAATCTGCTCAATTAAGCTAAAGTTGATTTGGTGACTATAGTGCCACTTTAATTTGAAAGAAGATACAAAAACCTAGATTAGCCCCTTAAGGATACAGCATAGTTCAGCTTGTTTGCTATCTGAATGGATTTCCATGGTCTGCGCTGCTAGCCAAGCCTTCAAACTCACTTGCCACTGCAAGCCTGATGAGTCCATGGCCTTCTCACCCTGGGTGAAAGTCTACTCACTAGGGGTAGATTTTCACGTGTCAATGGCTAATGATGAATGGAAAATGTAGGCCCTGCTTTAAAGGACCACTATAGTGCCAGGAAAACATATTCGTTTTCCTGGCACTATAGTGCCCTGAGGGTGCCCCCACCCTCAGGGACCCCCTCCCGCCCGGCTCTGGAAGGGGGAAAGGGGTAATAACTTACCAGCGGAAGCGGGGGCTCTCCTCCTCCTCTGCCCAGATCGCCCGCTGAACGCCTTGCAGCGGCAAGAGCTCTGGCACAAGATTCAACCCGTCGCATAGGAAAGCATTTACAATGCTTTCTATGGGCGCTATGCTCTCACTGTGAAAATCACATTGAGAAGCACGTTAAGCGCCTCTAGCGCTGTCAATGAGACAGCCACTAGAGGATAGGGGAAGGCTTAACCCATTCATAATTATAGCAGTTTCTCTGAAACTGCTATAATTATGAAAAAATGGGTTAACCCTAGAAGGACCTGGCACCCAGACCACTTCATTAAGCTGAAGTGGTCTGGGTGCCTAGAGTGGTCCTTTAAGGAAAATACTCTCTACAGCACCCCGTAGAGGTTATATTTTTCATCACAGACTGCTTTCACTAGAAGATGAGACATGGTTATAATGTAGCAGATAGAAAAGAAGGGAGAAGATATCAGAAAAGGTTACGAATCATCAGATTCTGGGGCTGCAGTCACCTTTACCTGCAAAGCAAAGTTATTTGTGATTATTTCATAATTTCACAAGTCACTCAGATTTGCACGCCATTGTTCTAGATGTTCTAACATTGCATCACTTGAGCTATGAATGATATATCTTTTTGACAAATAGTTTCTGATAATATTGCATATTTTTAATCATGGAACAAGCTGCGAGCGAAATTTCTCTTTAACTCAAGTAATGTATTTAGCACATTGAATGATATGCTGTACTCTTTCAACTGTGATAGATGTTTGCTTCTAATAGTTTTATGCAATACATACATGTGGATTGGGCAGTAAAAACAAAAATGCACTAAAAAAAAAAAAGAATATTCAGATTTTTCTTATAACTATATAGATCAAGGCCGCCATCAGGGGCCCCACGTGTAGCAGAACTGCTGCCAGTGCAGTTGCACCGGGGCCCGCACGCTGTTGGGGCCTATCGGGTGGTCGATGCACTTAGGGCCACCCGATGGGCCCTATATCTTCAGGGGCCCGGTCAGTGCTACAGCCGTGCAATAGCACGACTGGGCCCCTTTAAAAAAATTGCAGCCGCAAAGTACTGCTGGAGGAAGTGGCCGTCACTTCCTCCCAGCTCCCTCCGCGCGGGAGGGAAGAAAGACAGGCAGCGAGAGCCACGCCGACTCCCATCAGCCACAGCTTTCCACCTGCAAAAAAAAAAAAGGTAAGCAAAATTAGCTGTATTTGTGTATGTTAGTATGTCTGTTGTATGTCAGTATGTATGTGTGTATGTCAGTATGTATCTATGTATGTCAGTATGTATGTTAATATGTGTGTATGTATGTGTGTCAGTATGTATGTATGTATATATGTATGTGTGTCAGTATGTATGTTAGTATGTGGGTATGCAGGGCCGGCCTTAGGGGTGTGCGAGCTGTGTGGTCGCACAGGGCGCCATGGCAGCAGGGGATGCCCTATGGCTGACACAGCTCGCACACCCCCTGCCCTCTACCAGGGCTTAGCAGCGAGAGAGACTGTAGGAGGCGGAGCCAAGCGGCCGGCGGAGCCAAGCAGCCAGTGGGGGCGTAGCTAACCGAGGCCCGAATCTGCTGCTTGGTAAGTGAGACCATAATGCCCCTGCTTCAACTATAGTACCCCTGTTCCCCATCTATCCCTATAGTGCCCACCTCTTCCCCTATAGTGCCCCCTCTACCCCTATAGTACCCCTGTTCCCCATCTATCCCTATAGTGCCCCCCTCTACCCCTATAGTGCCCCCTGTGCCCCTGCTCCCCTATAGTACCCCTGTTCCCCATCTATCCCTATAGTGCCCCCCTCTACCCCTATAGTGCCCCTGCATCCCCATCTATCCCTATGGTGCCCCTCACCCCATAGTGCCCTGCTCCTTATAGTACCCTGTACATCTATCCCTATAGTGCCCCCCTCTACCCCTATGGTGCCCCATCTACACCTATAGTGCCCTGCTCCCTTATGGTAGCCTGTTTCCCATCTATCCCTATAGTGTCCCTGCTCACTATAGTACCCTGTTCCCCCATCTATCCCTATAATGCCTCCCTCTACCCCTATAGTGCCCCTGCTCCCTTATGTACCCCTGTTCCCCATTTATCCCTATAGTGCCCCCTCTGCCCTATAGTGCCCCTGCTCCCCTTATAGTACCCCTGTTCCCCATCTATCCCTATAGTGCCCCTGCTCCCACTATAGTACCCCTGTTCCCCATCTATCTCTATAGTGCCCCTGCTCCCACTATAGTACCCCTGTTCTCCATCTATCCCTATTGTGCCCCCTCTACCCTATAGTGCCCCTGCTCCCACTATAGTACCCCTGTTCTCCATCTATCCCTATTGTGCCCCCTCTACCCTATAGTGCCCCTGCTCCCCCTATAGTACCGCTGTTCCCCATCTATCCCTATAGTGCCCCCTCTACCCCTATAGTGCCCTTGCTCCCCCTGTAGTACCCATGTTCCCCATCTATCCCTATATTTACCCCTATAGTGCCTCTGCTCCCCAATCTACCCCTATAGTGCCCCTGCTCCCCATCTACCCCTATAGTGCCTCCCCATCTACCCCTATAGTGTACCTGCTCCCTCCATCTACCCCTATAGTGCCCATGCTCCTTATCTATCCCTATAGTGCCCATGCTCCCCCTATATTGCCATTGTTCCCCATCTACCCTAGTGCCACTGCTCCCCTTATCAACTGCTATAGTGCATTGCTCCCCCATCTACCCCAGTGCCCTCTTCTCCCCCTATCTACTGCTATAGGGAACAAAAATCACACACGGTCAATACACACACATATCAGACACAGTCAATACACCCATTACAAATATGGCACACAGCGAACACATCACACAATCACGTCTGACACACACATGATAAATGTAGCTGTCTTCCGAGTTCCGGCCAATCAAAACTTTGCCACGGATTACCACAGGAAAGCTCTGATACTGTAAGTGCCTGAGCTCATGAGACAGTTGCTGATGGTCTGCACCCAGTGAAGGCACCGACCAGATTCCCAGCAAACTGGATCACCAGAGATCAGCATGCCCCCCCTCCATGCAAGGTAATGACAGGGAAGAGGGGATAAATATTTGTTAATTGTTAAATTTTCATTTAATAAATCCCCCATAGACATGGATGGGGGAACGGGGGGGGGGGCGCTGTTAAGATTATTTGCACAGGGCGCCTGAAGACCTAAGGCCGTCCCTGTGTGTATGTATGTGTGTCAGTATGTATGTATGTATGTCTATGTATGTCTGTATGTATGTGTGTCTGTATGTATGTGTGTCAGTATGTCAGTATGGATGTGTG